GAGACGCCACACCGAGAAAAAAACTCCGATGAAAGCTCTCTTTAATCCCGTCGAATCCCTCTCTTCGATCTCTTCGTTTCAGATCAAGAGGTCTCTCTACTTTACCGGACCGAGTCCTTCATGCCTCCGGTTTCCTTTAACCGGCGGTTCGTCCCGGCGGTCGAAGCTCGGTGGTGGTGGTTTGAAGATTAAGGCAGTGTTGGATTCCGCAATGATGGATCAGTTAGGGCTTAAGAAATCTGATATTAAGAATCCGGCTCTTTCTTCTACTTACCGGAGATCGGAGATTCCGAAGCCAAACCTTACCGTTCTCGATGCTCAAGCTAGGGTTTGTACTGGACCGACTCAGACTAAGCCTCTTACCGAAGAACAGGCTTTTAAGGTGTTTGATACTATATTAAGATCAGGTTTGCATTTCATTCTCACGATTTTGACTTTATCGATTAGTGAAATTCATGTTTGGGAACGATGGTTTAAGCTTTAAAGGTTCAAGCTTTATGTTTGATTTCCATAGTTGATGCCATTTCCATAATCAATTGTTTAGCTTTCTTAGAATTTGGGATAGAATGTGAAAAACCCAAGTGAGTATTGATTTGGATAGGCTTCTTGGTTCTTGGTTAGGAATTTTGTTTATTGATTGGTTCTATAGAGTTCTTGGGGAGGTCTAGAGATTTAGCTTCTTTACTTGTTGTCATTGGGATGCAGCTAGAGGGGAGCTTAAAGGTGAAGAACCTGTTTCGAAGGCGCAACTTGGGGCATTTTTTGCTGGAATGACGATCCGTGCAAATGCGTTTCCTCAGGAAACTCAATGGAGCGAAGGTGAAAGACGGGCGATGGATGTGTTTTGGCCGTTACTGGTTCGGGCACTACCTCCTGATGTGCTCTTCATTGCAGATCCTGAAGGCTCTCTTTTGGGTACGGGAAGCTCGGTTGGACCAACTTTTGTTGGCAATGAAACTAGAGAGATGAGATTGGTTGGTGCGCTAAGAGAGATTTTGGCTGGAGGTCATCTTGGGTATGAGGAGGTTAAGGGTGTTTTAAGAGACGTTCTTCCGCTTGGAACGGAAGATAGCTTAACCTCGGGAGTGAGCGAGTCACTGCTCTCGGCGTTTTTGATCGGTCAACGTATGAACAGAGAAACAGATCGTGAGCTTAAAGCTTACTGCCTTGCATTCGATGACGAACTCGGTAAAAAGAAAAAACCACTTTTAATATAGAGTAAAAATCAGAGGAGTAATAATTTTTCTGGCAAGCGTACAAAGTTCTGAACTGAGTTAAAGCGTCTTCAACTAATTTCAGGGGCTCCTCCAGTTGCTGATGTCAAATCGTTAACCCATTATGGCGAGCCTTATGATGGGAATACTCGATTCTTTCGAAGCACTCTTTTTGTTGCTACAGTTAGATCCTGCTATGGTGAATCTTCATTGCTCCATGGCGTGGAATGGATGCCCCCAAAAGTATAATAAGTCAAAAAATTAATCTCTTTCAGTGTAAACAGTTTCCTAGATATGATAATGCTTTCGAGGATTTGCTTAGATTTTTATTTTTTCAGTAACTTTCTAACTCTTCCTATTTTCTTCAGGGGGGTGTGACCGAGGAACAAATGCTGAAGTTTATGGGAGCAAACACAAGCTTGTCTGTTCAGCAGGCAAAAGAACTCATCGAGGTGCCTACAATAATTTAAACTAATGTCTCACAGGTTTTCACTTTTTTTTTTCTGTTCAAATATGTCTATCTTTCTCGTGCCAGCCTATTTACTTGCTCTATAAACTCCCATTTGTTTTTTCCAGGACGAGAAGGCTGGATTTGCATATCTTAGTCTACGGGAAGCTCGGCCGTCTTTGTATGAATTTTGAGAAACTATTTTTTAAGTCATTTTCTTTGTTTATCTTACACCTGGGGATATATTAATGCATACGATCTTTTTCTGTACTTCTGCGTGTATTATTGCATAAGCAGTTTGTTGGTAAAGGAAACATCTCTGTGTATTGATATGTTTCTTTGGTATTTGCAGAAATTCGCTAATCGGAATGAGGGAGCATATAAAGAAGCGTCCTCCTCTGGCCACAACTGAGAAAGTCCAGCAATTTGTGAGGGTAAGGGATCTATCACTGGTCATCTCCGCCTCTATCACTGGTCATCTCCGCCTTATATGTTCCATGCTATTAGATTTTAATGGCTGGAGATGTTATGTATGATAATTAAGACAAATTTTAGGAAAAGGAAATATCATTGTGCTTGATAGAAGGTGCTTGCATGCAAACATTACATGCCTATTTTTCACTGCAGGCTACAGGGAAGGAAGCAATTGTGGCTGGATTTTACCATGAAGGCTATGAGGAACCTCTTCTAATGCTTATGAGAAGAAGAGGTGTCCATTCTGGTTTGGTGATTAAGGTCGACTCTCTTCTTTGCGTTCAAACGTGTACTGATCAGCCACTAGCTACTGCGCTCATGAATATAGGATTAGAATCTGGCATCCGTTATTAGTTTCCA